ATCATAGCAGTATATGACAGTAATTCATTTCAAAGAGCATTCAACTGCATTCAACTTCAGATAACAATTTCAATTACAACGTAATATTGTTATTTATTATTAATGAAAATTATGTCAGAAACGAGAAATTAATTTTCTTTTCTTATAGACTGAATTATCTTTTTCTTTGTCACATTATAAGTAAACATTATTTGCTAAAAGTGGTCGTTTGAACGGCAGTGTTAAAGCAATTAGTAGCTTCTTTCTATCAAGGCGATGTCAATTAGCGGCTAAATCACGCCGAACAAAACAAGAAATCAAAAGAGCTTTCAGTCAGGATAACTTCGTTTACAAAGTACATACGGGCTATTCTTATGCAGCATTGAGTCAATTAATGCAACTTTAATACTATAATATCCTTTAATGATATTGATAGTTGTTACTTTTTATGAATCTCGTGATATTTAAACGAGAAAAAAGATAATAAATTATATGTATATATAATTAATAAACACACAGGTTTATATAACTTCAACAAATTATGAAATTGAATAGATATATTTCTAATGATTTTATACTTATTGCCATTTAGTTCGTTTAAAAGTACTTTAAAAGCATAATTATTATTTTGACATTAAATTTACGTACTTAATTCCTTATTTAATTATTGAAACAACAGAAAGAAAGTTAAAGAGTGTAATAAAAGATGTTTAAAAAAATCTTTATAAAAATACTGTTTCACTTTGTAAATGCATTTAATGCATACGCAAGGAAAGCCTGCGTATCTTTCTCAATCGGAATGCAAATACGATAGCGATTTACAACGCACGAACAGTGTTTCACGCTATAATGTTTCTAACATAGTATTATCCGAGAATATTGCTGATTCTTTTCAATTTTCGTGATAGCGTTAACGTTTCATCGAATTTTTTTTTAAGGAAAAATTGCATAAAAAATGTGTTAAATTATTATGAATGATTTATTAGAAACTGGAGTACATTGTGCGACTGGTTGAAAAGAATAAATTACAAAATGATTTTAGTTCCAGCAGCAGTAAGACACGATAAAATCTTAAAGTTTAATTATAATCTACCAAGAAATTTAAGATTATTTGATTTAGAATTAATTTTTCTCTTTGATAGAGATATAGAACTTTTATTTAAAAATAAACATTCTCATAAAAAACAAGTCTTAAATTTTCAATAAACAAATTAATATTTATCACATATTAATAATAATAAATATAAATTTTAGTATCTGTAAAATATACAATATAAAAAGAAATATTGTAGACAATAAAAATATTTACGGTTTTTTTTTTTTTTTTTTTTTAATAAAATAAGGTTTACTTTACAGAATCTTAATTTAGAATTTGTTTCTGATCATAATTACAAAAAATATATTGAAATTTCAAAGAAGCTGTAATAAATGGTGATTTTCTGTGACCTTTTTTGTTGATCCATCTTATTAAAATTTTAATCGTTTATTCTGGCGCGCGCCCTAAAGGAAGCTATGCCGCATTGTACTGCAATTAATCAAAAGTTTGTCCTAGTTACGGGTGCAGTTACTTTTAGAACTTGTTACACAATTAATTCTGAGATCAAAATCCGTTTGTTTCACTTTAATGTAAGGCATTGTAAGAATGCTTCGTACCTTGCGAAAATTTTGTCACAATCTGTGTATTTCATCATTTTTTTCATTTATCGCGTATCCTTATTCTCGTAATATCTTTTTACATTAATCATTAGTTCAATGCTATATTTTTTATGTTTTTGCTTATTTTGCATTTTCTCGTCGTTTTTAAAGGAATTTAATTTTCTTGCCGAAATAAATATCTCTTCCCCTTTTTAAACGTCTACTGTTTGCGATATAAATCTCAGGAATAAGGGTAAGCGAAAATTAAAGATCTTAAAATTAGTACGGGTCTCAGGAATGTTTACGCTGAAATAATTAAGGCTACACGTTTCGTTTTTTTTTACACAAAATTCAAATCTCCTAATTTTTTCGTTAAAATTTACAATCTTAGAAATTAAAAAAATATTTTTGTGAGGCAGCAATAACTTTTTCCGCTTTCGTCTCTTAAGTAATTCTAATTCCATATAACCGTAATTTTAATTCCATATATATAATTTTAAAAGTTTAAAACATTTTGCTATTTACTCAATAAGAGATGTAATTATAAGAATCAATTTATATTTTAAAAACTTTATTGAATTATATTATTTCGAAGGCGAGAAATTAATTCTGTGAATAATACGTCTTCGAAATTGATTTTAAAGTTCTAAATACCCTTTTTATCTTAGATTATTATTGTAGAGAGAGGTGACAGTTAGTTCCATTAATTGTCGGCTCTGTGTCGTACAAAATGCTTCTTGATTTTTCCCCAAAAAAATTAGGTGGCTCTTTTGCCCTTTGATCAGAGCTAACCCATATATCCGCTTACAAGAGAGGTAAAAGCCGACGTGGTATCTATTCCAGGTGGTATCAGTCGCCAGTGCATTCAGGACCAGCCTCCTCTTTTTCAATTAAGCTTTGATCATGGGGCTTCGGGATACATAGACCGAGTGTGTGCACCATTTCGCCAGTGTCGTTGATTAGAGGTTCAAACGAATGTCACTCGATAAAGGGACGAGATGACACGGACGTTCGAATAGAACAAAAATCTCATTGGATCGAAATCATATGTCGCTCGACTCGCGTCAACGCGCTAGGAAGCACTTGAAAAGCTCGTCTATTGCATCTAACATTTTCGCACTCTCTCTCTCTTTCGCATTTCAATTGAGGTGTATTTTCGAAAGGGTTTCAGTCGAGCTTTCATTTATTTAGTTGTCTATACCTATCTGTTCTCTGTGCGCAGATATAGAGATATGCAATGTTCCAGAACTTGGCTTCTGATTTTGAAATGAGATTTGCTTGTCAATTTGGGATCGTCTCTCAATACACTGCAATATTGAAGAATCAATAATAAAAGTTAAATGTTTTTTCTTTTGACAATGTATGAGGTTTTCGATCATCGTCCGATCGCATTCTTTTATTTCACTATTAATTCGAGAAATTACCGGTTCGTGACTGTAGACCGTTTAATTTTATGGTGATTTTACTTGTTTGACTATTGACATAACAATAACTGCGAACAGTGCAGAGTCTCTACAGTCAATATTGAGCGAGCTTATCTCGAGCGGGAAAATAATAAAACTACTACGGGCGAGCGAAGAAGCAGGGAGAAATTGCGGAAACTAACTTTCCGCGTGAACTACTTTCGTCCTTTGATACTCTTCAGCTCTTTACTGCAGCGTGATAGTGTCGCAGGCTGGTTGCTATCGGTGATCCGGCCTCTATTTGCTTACCAAATATCAAATCGAATTGGACTTTAACAAGCGACGAAAGTGAACCGCACTCTCTCGGTGATTGGTAGTATCGCGAGAGAGAAAATAAATATTGATCCTTCTGTCGGCGGCGAAAATTAGAAGTCGACAGAACCGTAGCTCCATACCGAACAGTATTGCGGCGCACGTGAAAAAAGTCAAAGTAAAAAAGTTGTGTGTATCCATAATTATCCGATACGACCGATGGCTGGGTAACCGTTCGATAATTAAATTGCCTGTGCAGAGAAAAAGTACCTCTCTTCTTTTATCTCGGTTGAATTATCCTCGATATTGACGTAGAGATATAATACTCTGATGAATCGAAGAATTTATCTCCTACGGTTTTAAATATAAATTCCCTTTATATTTAAAACCAGATTTAAGATAATAGCATCAAATAAATGATGAAATTTAGTTTGTGAGATTGTTATTATTTCAGTTTGATTGTGTTGCAGTCTGGAAATAATTGGCGCGTAGTCGTATATCTGAAATAAACGTGTTTAAGATATGTATAGAAATATCATTTCAACGTGTCTAACTTTAACCGTAACAAGTAAACTTTGAGGCTTTCTACGGTAATATCTACGATAAACTATTATAAAAAGACATGCAATTTTAAATTTAATGGAATATAAATAAGAATTACGAGATGAAGCGAATTTTATTTTGATTATTTCGTTGTATGTGATGTATTATAATATCACGCCGTATCTTAGCGTCGAGACACTTCCGTGTCTCCAGATACTTTTCTATTACGATATCTTTAATTTTATTCATTGTATGTTTACATACATCTTTCGCAAGGTGGACGAAAGGAAACCTCATTCTGTCATGTCGTGAAAATTGCTTAAAATATCTTCCAAATGGAAGCTTTGTCGGTTCGAAATATATTTTTTCTGCTTATCCTGTGTCTCAATTAGTCGAGAGCGAACGTATACATTCTCTGAGAACGCACGCACGCACGTTCTCCTCATATTTTCTTTCTCGATTGTCCGTGAAGTGCAGCACCGACTAACTGCATCGTGAAAGGCGACAGGCGGTGGCAGGAAACGGCGCGTTTCTTTCTTCTAGAAATCGCGCCTTTCGGGACTCCCAAAGCGAGGCTTAAAAATACCCCACGTCCGAAAATAGTCGTGCAGAGAGCGACGCTCTCGACAGTCCTCGATGACGACGCCGTGTGACGATGGCAGGTCTCTTTCGCCCCCGCCGAAAGATTAACCTTCCCTTTTCGTCGTTTTGCAGAGCGTCTCCTTTTCATCTCTCTCTCTATATATAATCCTGTTTCTCGAACTTTTCTTACCGCGGCCAACACGAAATGCAGTTTCACACTGCGACCAGGTACATAAAACACGTGTAGAAATCGATAAGGTTTGCTGCTGAATGTCTATTTATATATAAGAGAAAGAATACAACAAATAAACATTAATTTTTATTTTAGTTAGGAATTATTAAATGTAAATAAAATTTAAAACTAAACGGTAAAATTGATTTTTTTTCATAAGTTAAGTTTATTGATATAGAAGTTGACTGATTTTTCAATTGATTGAAAGCGTAATAAGTTCTGATTTTTAGATTTATATCGAAATCCAAACATATCACATATCTGTCTGCCCATAAACAATCATTGTGAATTGATTATATGATGGACAGTGTAATGCGAGAAACGATGGTGATTATACGAGTAAGTTTCGACCGCGTCGATATTTATGACATTCAATGAAATCATCGTATCCGAACGATTTTAATTAGTGTCCGCGAGTACAATTTTCTCATCGAGACTTGAGACTCATCTGGAGTGGATTGATAAATTACCAATGATGCAACCCGTACACACCGAAAACAACAACTCCGCCTTCGACATGGAATCTCTCGAGGAGATGCTTCGCAAGGTAATCATATAATCCCCTTTCATTTCGCACGAAGTTTCATGATAAGCTTATTCCTCTAACTTCAATAAAACGCGGTTTGATTGCAAGCAAGTATTGTACAAACAACACAAAAGTTGAAGAATATATAGTTTTTAGTCACATTTTTGTGATATAAAAGTTACAATCAGATTTTATTTTTATTAGTCTGTAAACGAATATATTTTATTTATATACAAATGAATTTTGACTTAAGTTAACATATATTGAACATCGAAAGAATGTTAAGAAGAGCGTGTCACAAAAGTTCGATTAAGAAATAACGAATTTGAGATTCGAGAACATTAAACTTAAGTCCAGGCGATGATTTTCTCATGTATTTGTTGTTTATGTGAGCACAGCGAAATTTTCCCCTTAGAGGGGAGGAATTATCCGCATAGTCGCGGACAAAAGAAATTTCGTTGGGGAGCGAGTTTTTAACTGCGGCTTCCTGTAATGTATTCTGTCAGGCATCGCTGAATGGACCACTTAGCGAGCGTCCACACTTCGCCACACGTGTGGTTATTCGTTTATATGCCACGTGTAGGGGTTAAAGCGAGTTCTCTAGCAGTACGTTAATGGCTACTTCAATAGAACCATCCGAAAAAGCGTTGAAAAACTGTAGAGTAACCATTTTTTCTAGCAATTAAATCTGCACGTCTTTCCTTTACCCGAAGAAAACGTTATACCTAGCTTATATGGATTATTACAAACATATGTAAAAGTTTGAATTATAAAAAAATAAAATATTTGACAATTTATACCCATATTTAACGGAAGACGTAATTTGTTTAATTAAAAAAATTATTTCCTCTATTAAATATTGATATAAATTGTCAAATATTTTATTTTTTAATTCGATCTTTCACATATTTTTGTAGTAACGATATTAATTGAGACACAATGTTTTCATCGAGCGAATAAAAAGAAATTTAATTGCCAGAAAAACTGGTTACTCTCCCATTTATCAAGGGCTTCTTTTTTAAACGGTTCCATCGAGGGTGGCCATAATGTAATTTCAAAGAACTAACTTTTTAAAATAAAAAATCATTTCTCTCTTTTGAGTTAAGTTTTATTTACAGTTTCATTTCAATAGAAAAACGAAAATCGGATTTTCACCCTCTCTCTCTCTCTCTCTCTCTCTCTCGACATAAAATTTACAATTGAAATTGTTTTGATATGAATTCGAACAAAATTTTAGTTTCCTTTTAATTAAACGTGTCTAATTCGAATTAGTATCATTTATATCTCGTTGCGCGTAAGCTAAATTTTACTTAACATTATGACATTTCCATTAATTTATCTGCTAGCATTCTCTCGTTGTAATGCAATCTGAGAGAAATTCTTCATCGCTTATTACTGTTCTCTGCTGTCAGACACAAGTGCCGTGAAACAAATGTCAGATGTAAAACCTAGCACACGCAGCTAGGTTTATATCATACCGTCCATACTGCTGTCATGCACAAGTGTCACGAATAAATGTCAAATAAAAAGCTACCAGAAAGCTTTAGGTTTACGCTTTATGGCGTGACATTTTTATCCGGCACATTTCCTCCCTCGTTACCGTTCTCTTGTAATAATACCGAGTGCGACAGAAAGTCGTCGTTCACGACTGCTGAATCATCGGTTCATTGGCCGAACTTTAAACGCTTACGGCTAAAAAATGACCGCGCAGAGTAAAAAAAATTGCGCAGACGCTCCGGTTAAGTTCTCGCAGTTGCAGACTGCGCTGCGCTGTGCGCGTCGCGAATGTGGGCAGCGTGTGCGGTATTAAGCCGGCCGCAGCGTCCACCACGATGCTGTCTTTCGGGAATTACAATGCAAAATGAATTCGCGGTGCAGCCCTAGCGGAAGGATTACGGAATAATAACTCGGCGCACGCGTTTTCCGCTTGCGGGATGTATCTATAACTCGTGGACGGAATGCATAATTCAACACGCATTTGCATAGCGGGATGTGTCGGTAAGCGACGCGCGGTAACGTAAACTGAAGCTTAAATAACGTCGCATATATATGCGTGTATGTGTGTTTTTGTACGTAACTGCGTACGTGTAACCACGCGTGTGCGAGTATACGTGCGGTAACGCGTCGTTTGCCCGCGAAAATGGAGCAGTTAATTGTCTTTCCGTTACCGTGCAATTACGTTTGTCGCACGGGATAATGCCGTTTATCGTGTCTACTGTTACTGCTGTAATTACTTTTGTAATTAGTATTTCTTGGGGGAGCCGCGCGAGTCTTGAGCGACAAGTCTCGAGCGTGTTCTCGACTCGCAGCTCGACTCCAATCTCAATTTTCCGGTCTCTTTTTAATTTTATTATTCCACCGTTGCAATCGGTACACTAGGCGGAATGGGTTGAATTTGCCTCGAAACTACAAAAATAACGGATAACTTTCTCGCTAATGCTCTCAAGCAAATGCCGCAGTCTGAAATTGTCGACCGAATTACCCAACGTTAGTTACTATCTTACAACTACATCATTTACAGCATTACGTTATAATTAATTAATATTTGAACTACTTTTTTGACGATGGGACGAGATGAACTTTATTTTATTACAAAAAAAATTAAACTAAGCTCAAGTAGATAAAAATTAAGTTAATAAATAAGGAGCTATGAGCTAGATGTTTATTATTAAATCTTACAAAAATGTACAATTTAATTAACAGACGGGACATTTCGACTTTTAATCAATATTAAAAATAGGAATGAAAATTAAATTATTTATAGATTTTAATATTTCAACATTATTAAAATTGACCTAACATGCGCAACGAGTATTAAAAATTATTGGTCAATTTAACTTGTGATGTTACTGCGGTAGTTTAATAGAACTTGCGTTTCAAATCTGAAAAAAAATTCGGCGCGCAATTAATAATTTACATACATAATATTATTCATACACATTATATACAAAAGTATTCGAGATCCAGCTTGACCCGATCCAGCATGATCCCATTGGTTTTCATTGGTTTAAATTCTCACGGTCCTATAAGATTTAATATTAGGTTGAAAATAGGAATCATGTATGGTGCAAAAACATCTAACAACAACTAACGACAATTATGTTACGCAAAACTTTTTATCAGTATGCTATTACAGTGATTTGATATTAGATTGCATTAATATCTTATTGAGAAAAGTCGACCAATATCACTTTTTTTTCCTCTTTTGTGAGAATCCATATGTAAAACACTTTGATGTATACGGATTTTCCCCGAAAAAAATATACATATGTATAACTTTACAATAAGTTATCACATTAGAAGCAGACCGTTCTGTCTCTTTGGCAGTTAAAAAGAAATCTCTTTTTGTTACATCATCTTTTGAAATTTACACAGTTACGGAGGATCTCATTCTTATATATTCTTGTTTATCCAAGGTTTCCGATCTCTGAACTCCCTTTTCTGATTCATAATGTTCGGCTGAGCATAAATTGATCCTTTTCTAACGGAAGCAAGCTTCCGGGTGTACCGAAGGCTAAGCTAAGAAAACTTACTGAAGGCGGAAGGGACGCCTGAGCTTTATCGCCAAACAGACATTCGCGAGTTTCGCAACGGGGCGTAAGAGCGGTCGTAAGAGGGGAGGGAAAGCCTTCCCTTGGCAGAAAGCTTTTTCGGTCGCGGTTGCTGGCCTAAGCGGCTTTCCGTTTTGCGGCAAGGGAATGCGTATTATCGACCTTCGTGGCGCCTACCTCCGACTTGGCCGAAAAATATTAATCCTGGCCGTCAAACACACTGACGTAGGGTCGCCGGATGGATTTCTCGCGCGGTACACTGAGGACGAAAGGAATAAAAAGAAGTTGAGAATCTTTTTATTGTAATTGGATATCGCCGCGAGAAAGAGATTATTTCGACAATATTTTACGAGGGATAAATTCTTCAGAAAACAAAATTTATATTACACACATGAAAATTAAAAAGAATAAAATGTTATTCAAATCAAAGGATTAGGTTATTATTGCTTCTTCGATGTCTAATAGTGTACTTAAGATTTTTAATATTATAGCAGTCACATTTACGGATTTCTTCAGAAAGAAGACTTGAAAGATTTTTTCATTATATAATATCAAAACTATGCGCCAAATATTATTACATCGAGATATTATTAAGTGGCTGCATAAAACTTTAATGCCGTGTGCAGGTCGGCTAGTGAGGAGCAATGATTCTTGGTGTGGCGATCGGCGGAAGTTTTCCGCACCTTTCAGCGAACTTTTCCGCACTTTTCGTCGGTGACGTACAGCTAAAACGTCGGCGGCACGATTTCGCGTTTCTGTGTAAGATCGTATATGTGCGCGCACGAGAAACGACGGCGAACGGCCGCTATCCACCACCACCACCACACCCCTTCCCACCCTCAAGTCGTGGAACGTAAAAGGGCAATAAAACACACGGGACGCATCTGGGTTACGAGCTTTACAAGGCACTAGCTTCTTTCTTTATCTCGTGCCGGAGCCATCACTTCGGCCCTAAGCGATTTCTCGAACGTCTCCTCTGCCCGCGTTTCGTTTTCCTGTAACCTTCGTGTTAGCTTGTCGTTGTTACACACTCAGGATTGAATCTTTGTACGACTCAGGCACTTCTTTGTCGAGACACAATACAATATAGCGAACGTAATCTTAATTATATCGATACATAATTTTATCATTCTTTTGTTGCGTTATTTTATAATTCTTATTCAAATCTAATTGCTTCTTTGTCTTACGATTGTTTATTCTTTGTTTTTTATAAGTTTCAAATATTTCGTAGACCATATACCATATCTATAAAGCGTAATAAAAATGTATAAGTCCTGATTGTACATGTATATATACTCTCTGATCGTTTCGTTTAGAACGCCTCCCGTTTATTTCTCCAACCTCCAGACATTCTTTTCTGTCCTCTTTTCTCATCAATGGCAGGAGAAAGCAGACAGTGGTGTGGTACAACTTGGTCGCCCGTTACTGCACACATCAAAACCAGTCCCGCGCCACTTGCGTCTCCACTAA